GGAGACAACCTTCGCTGGAGGCGATCTGCAATCCTGACGTTGGTCTCAACTCTTCATCCAGTGGCCGCTTCTTCAGTTCAATCCAAGGGTACCCCTCTGTATGCTGATTAATCAACACTTCCAATCGCTGTGGATTTACCGTTGTGGACTATATGACTTTTTCCAATGGATTACAGACTCTGTTTCCAAGGGGTTAAAGCATTGCTACAATGGGATTACCGAGACGATATGGGATTATAATCAACACAATGGAATACCAAGAACATTGTGGAATTACCTTGACTTTGTTTCCTTGCTGGATTACTTCTGACTTTAGTCTTCCTTGAAGGATTACTTCTGACTTTGGTCTTCCTTGCTGGATTATATCAAGCTCAAGGACATTTGAAGGTCTAAGTTCACGGTTGGAATTCATCCCCATGGACAGGTGATGATTTCCAAAGGGGGGACTGTAGTGAACCAGATGACCTCAAATATACCAGATGGACAGAGACTGTTATTTTCATTGATCTGAATAAGTCTGAACCATCTGATGAACTTTCTTTCTTGAATTAATCAAGCAGAAAAGACAATCCTCTATAATCATTACTGTCTTACAAATGTTTTGATAATCAAATTGTGTTAGTTCACTCAATGCTTTACAGGTTGAAAAGAACTACTAATTTTTATTTTACATAAACAGTAAGTAATGATTTTTGTTCCTCATTCAGAGAAGAAATCACCTGAATATGCCTTTCTTGATTTTCTGTCTGAAATGAGCAAGCTGTCGTAAGTATGTTAAAGGTTGGTTTTCGGTCAACTAAAATGTTTACCGAGGAAAATGTCATGTTTTACTATTTGAAAAGATTACAAAGTGTGAGACTCCACGAAGTCTGCTGTTGCTGCAATAATCTTTTCTGTATGTTGTAAACAATCCTTGACTTATGATAACATCTTACGTCACAAATCCACTCCTCTTTCTGGTCCTTCCACGAATCAGAAAGCTCTAAATTGAACAGGAAGTCGACCCAAATAAAATGTGGCAACTTCTCAGTTCATAGTTTAGAGAAGAGAAGAATTCGAGAATTCCAGAATTCCAAGAGATTGAGAGTTCTGAGAGATGTTGGATTGAGAGCTGACAACAGGTCCGATAGTCCAACAGAATGAGCAGATTGAGAGTGCAGCCGGTTCTGAAAGTTTCAGAGCAATGAAGAATCCAGAGGTTTTGGGATTATAATTCTGTTTTGAACTAACCACGCACGACTCTTCGAGGATTTTAGCTGTTTTCAACGGAGACGCTGATATCAGTTGAAAAGGATTCTTACTGAGCTGATCTATCATCAACCAGGTAACGGCCTCTTCTTCGACTAAAGTGTACCGTGGACAGGCTGGAGATCTGACGGAGCGTGCAACTTCTGGTCAAACAGATTAAATTCCCTCACACATTTCCTCTGTAAGATAAATCTCAATTTAATCTTAAACTCTTCTCTCTCATAAATCAGTACAGATATTTTTAGAAATGTCTGAAGCAAAGTCCTCAAATCACCGCCGAGTGATTTGAAGTTCATTTTCTGTGAAACTGTCTGTTATTATTTTCATATTTTGCCAAATTAATGTAAATGTTTGATGTTAAACTTTGATTTTGAAAATAAATGATTCCATTCATTTGATGGGTCAAAGATAAATAACGTCTCTCGTTCGCATTCCTTTAAATTCAATGCACGACATTTACAGTCAGAAAAATGAAGAACTCGTGAATATTGTATGCATATATAATTCATATATTTGTCATACAACAAGTGACACGTACCTCACGCGTCTCACTACACTTTTCATACAGAGCTCCCAAAATATTCATAAACTCATCATATGATCTGTTCACATCATCAACATACACGTCTTTCCAGCTTTGTTTATGTAAATCATCTTTTAATTTGTCCATTGCTTTTTTAATGTGTTTATTGTTTTTTTCTTAATTGTAATTTCTTTTGTAATGCTTTGATCATTTTTATAAATCATGAAAACTGGTAAATGATCACTCAAATCACTCATTAAAATACCTCCCATTACATCCCCATTTGTTACATTTGTGAAAATATTATCGATTATTGTAGCACTATGAGTTGTAATTCTTGTTGGTTTTGATATTAACGGATAAAGATTTAAACTATACAATGAATTTGTAAATGTACTGATGTTATTTGAATCTGTTTTATTTCCCATGTCAATATTAAAGTCTCCACACAGAAAAATGCTTTTATTAAAACTCTTGTCCAATAATTGTACGATTTTATCAGTGAATATTTCTATATTTGATCCTGGAGATCGATATACACAACTTATCAATATGTTTTTATCATTCTTGTTTATTATTTCTATTGTTATTATTTCCATGATATTATCAACAATTATTGACATTTCATTAATTAACTTACATTTTATTTCATTTTTAACAAACAGAGCCACTCCACCACCTCTTTTGTTGCTTCTGTTCACATGATATAATTCATACCCTTCCATGTGAACATTATTTGTGTTTTCATCGTTGAGCCACGTCTCTGACAGTGCTATTATTGTAAAAGTTCTGTTTAGCTGTTTTAAATAATCTGTTATTTTGGATATATTTGCATTTAAACTTCTACTATTAAAGTGAATAATAGAGAGACCTCCATTAGTTATATTGATGTCATTAAACTGTTCTTCATTGTAATATTCACAGTCTTTTATTGCAGGGAAAAAATTGTATCAATCTCATCTTCAACATTGTATATTTTAAACTCTAAGTCTTCGTATGTTGCCATGTTTTAATGTATTTGTTTATTTTATATTTTGTTTATTTCTTGTTAGTGAAGTTATGTCAATGATTTATCATCTGTCTTTTCCTGAGTTCATTTTAGTCTTTCCAGATCCTTCAGGTCTTTTATTATTTTAGCATGAGATCCTTCCTCTAGTTTGATCCAAATGTTTCAATTTCTTGTCCAAGTTGATGCTATTTTTTTCTGTTTTTTAACAACCTTGCTTCACGTGCAATATTTCCTTTTTTTTTTTTTAGTTAGATGTTCGTTTATGTAAACATTTGTTCCCTTCAGTTTTTTTGCTTGCATTATCACATTGTTTCTTGATTTCCTGCTAATGAACTTGATGACTATGGATGGTTTGGCTTTATCTGATTTGTTGGGCAGTGTGTGACAGATTGAAATGTCCTCATGTTTGATGTCAATGTCTTTGTTTTGTAAAAAATTCACTACTTGCTCCTCCAGAGTCTGTAGTTCTTCCTGTGGTGCGTTTTCTGCTGTGTTAGTACCAGCAACAACTCTTACATAACTCCGGTTCCTAACTTCCAGTCCAGTGATCACCAAGTTGTCTAGTCTTGTTTATTGTTCCAAGTCTTCTACTTTTTGTTCCAGTTCAGCTATTTTTCTGTCTTTATTAGTCATCAGTTCTTTCAACTGTCTCACTTCTTCATACAGTCCTGTCAGTAATTCACATTTAGCTGATAATTTAGTCACATCAGCACTCAATTTAGTCACTTCAGCACTAAAAAGTTCAAAGATTTTTTTAACTTCCTCCATATCTTCTGAATTATTTTCCGACATTTGTCTCTTATCTCTGTGTTTGCTCGGCATTACTCACGATACTTCTGGATTGTTGGTCTAAACTTTCAGAAGCACAGGATCCAGCCACGAGGTTCACAGGCTTATGTTGTTAGCTTATGTTGTTAGCCGAGGCCTAGCCAGGTCTAGCCGAGGCCTAGCGGCAACAACCTCCAGGTCCCACGCAGTCTCACGATTCACTCAGTCCAGCAGTTCGCAGCCCCAACGGTGACAGACCAGGTCCCGGTTGCAACAGCTCCCAGATCCCACAGCTGAAGTTTAGCTTCCTCGTTTTCAGCGGCTCGCAGGTCCAATCGGCCGCAGACCGGGTCTCCGACGTAAACTGCTCGGTTTCAGCGGCTCGCAGGTCCAAACAGCGGCGGACCGGGTCTCTGCCGTAAACAGCTCGGTTTCAGTGGCTCGCAGGTCCAAACGGCGGCGGACCGGGTCTCCGCAGGCCTCACTAGCCGAAGCAGCTCTCTGGCCAGCTCGTTAGCCAAACGTTAGCTAAACTCGTGGCTCAGCTTCCACGGTTCAGAGCGCGCAGACTTCCTTCTTCCACCTGTTCTGTATATATATACTGTATATCCATACATGTATCATCTATATAGACATATATACATATATACATACAGTTTGAGTCAGTTGTAAAGTTGGCAAAGTTAGTTGGAGATCGGCGGGAGCATCAGTCAACACCTCCTACTCCATTGGAGTCATCTTGGAATGACTCCACCTCTTCAAGTTCTCTTCCACCTGTTCCCTGTTCTCACTACAGATCACAATATCATCTGCAAACTTCATAGTCCATGGGGATTCCTGTCTGATCTCATCTGTTAGTCGATCCATCACCAGAGCAAACAAAAAGGGGCTCAGAGCTGATCCATGATGCAATCCCACCTCCACCTTGAAGCTATCTGTCACTACTAGAGCACATCTCACCACTGTCCTGCTGTCCTCATACATGTCCTGTACCAGTCTAACATACTTTTCTGCCACTCCAGATTTCCTCATGCAGTACCACACCTCCTCCCTCGGCACTCTGTCATATGCTTTTTCTAAATCCACAAAGACACAATGGAGTTCTTTCTGACCCTCTGTGTACTTCTCCATCAGCATTCTCAAAACAAAGATGGCATCTGTGGTGCTCTTTCTTGGCATGAAACCATACTGCTGCTCACAGTCACCTTTCATCACCTCTAGCTGATCAAATCATTTGATCATCTTGTCAATGTTAAATCATTGATTGAAATTTATTTTATTTTTTTTGGGCTCAGCAAGGTTAAAAAGCAGCCAAGAGTATTCAGTTTGTTGAAATGTGAGCCATCTAACAAAATGTTAAGAATAAGAATTGGGATTTAATCTTAAAATTGAGCTTTATGCTCCTCCAATAAAAATTCTCACTTTTAGTCCAACATCCAGCAGCCTACTTACCATATAATCACAGGTTGGAGAGAAAGCGTTTGTGCCACACACGTAAATCGTAGTGTCGTTGATACTGTGCAGCGTTCGGATGTAGTTGCGACATTCCACCTGCAACAAGATCCAGCAGAGGGAACGTCAAGGTCAGAGCTCTGTTAGTTCAGCTGTAAAACCACAAACATGCCATACACACGCAGGGGCTGAGCTGTGGGTCATAAGGTCAAGGATGTGCACAAGGATTTTGTTTTCCATCCATTATCTTTACCTGCATCTCCCTTTCTGGTTTGCTGGTGCCCATGTCCAGCAGCCACTGTGCCAGATGTGGGGTACACCCACCACAGGGCTACATAGACGTACAAGAAACCACCATTCACTCTCTCACTCACACCTAGAGACAATTTAGAGTTACCAATCAGCCTAACATGAATGTTTTTGGTCTAATGGAGGAAACCGGAGTACCCGGAGAAAACCCACACACGCACGGAGAAAGCATGCAAACTCCATCCAGAAAGGACCCTGACTGGGATTTGATCCGGCAACCTACTCGCTGAGAAGCAACAGCTCTGCCAACTGATCCACCGTGCCGCCCAGATTTTGTTCCTGCACCTTTATGTGGTTCTTCAGTGAAAATGATATAAGCTAAGGCTTCAAAGGGAACTCCATGTAAAGACTTGATAAACAAAATAATAATAAAATCCCCACATAAATGATTTACAGAGAGAAGCTGCCTGGAGGGGAGTGGCCAACCTTTAGTCAACACTTGTCTTTTTAAGATTGTACCTTTGCACTGGAAGTAAAACCGATTGTGGACGAGCTTTTGTTTTGAAAAGACACAAACCTCTGCAAGCTTCCCCTTGTATGTGCACTCTCTCTGCTTCTCCTCCGTCACTCGCCAATACACCTGCACCAACACAAGAAAAGTGTCCCGTCAGAGCACATGACGACGTCACAACCTTCATGCTATAGTTGTCCAACATGACAACTCATCGTTGCACAAGCCTCTCAGTTGTTCCATTAAAAGTAGTATAATCTGCTCCCCTTGGATAAAAACTGATGATCTTGGTGTACAGGGCAGATTGTAAGGTTTGTCACAAGGCTTTCAGCTAAAGATACAAAGAGAACACAACCCACAGGATTGTTTTTCAGTTTCCTTTTGTACTGGGATTTTCTGTTTGCTTAGGTCGGCATTCTTCTTATGCAATTTAACATTCTGCATCTTTCTGAGTGACTTCTGTGCGTACATCTCCTTTGAGTCATACAGTCTGTTTTTGTTGTGCTCTGTTAAGATCATGTGCAAGCAGATGCAAATCTGTAGAACATTCAGTCAAGTTAACAAAAAGATATGAACACACCCACACACACGTGCGTAATGTGACCTAATCTGTAGTAAAAATATTGTGTACGACTTTTTTCAAACTGTTCGTTCAGAAGAGTCCTTTCTTGTGTTTGTCTAAAAATGAATCACTCACATTGAAGATTATGTGACCACACATTTTCTGTGAATATTTAACTGCTGATGACTCCAACAGCGATGGATGTAGTATTCCTTGAAGGAATGCATATTACTCGCTAACTTGCATGCCCAATGTTTTAAATAAAAGGGCTCATGCCCTCTTAATAACCGGAGTAAGTGTTGGGGACAACTCTCAACTACTACCACTGCAAAACAGAGCTCAGTGTTTGTAAAACCAGCTGAGGTGTAGCCATTTTGAAGTTTAGTGATTAATTTGCCGTGCCGCTCATCTTGAATCAGGTTGACACGAAAAGTTAGTCAGTTGTACCCAGTGATTGTTTTTTGAACGTTTCATTAAAATCATAAAAATGAGATATTTTGCTAACAGACAGACAAACACACAGACACAAAAGCAATAAGCATCATGGCTTTTGGCCAGGCTGAAGCCATTCAATGGGTCTAGTCAGTAAAAGCCAAATGTTTTTGATTTCTGATTAACACGTACCTCTTTAATAATCTATTTAAAAAGTCAAGCAATAATTAGTTTCATGTTTCTGAATGGAAAATATTTTTCTTTTTATATGGGAGGATGTAGTTTAAATGAGCCACACAGCTCCTCAAAGATTTCAAAGCTCAAAACTTAGCGTTTTGCAGCAGACCCCAGAGCAGCTGGATTGAAACAGGACAAGGCATATCTTGAGTTTATTAATATTTATTGAATATATGGACTTGCAACCTGCCCAAGGTGTCCCCTGCCTCTCGCACAGTGACTGCTGGACCCCTGCGACCCGAAAAGTAAGAAATGGGTAAAGATAACGATGGAAGAATGAACACAGGGTGTAAAAATATTTATTTATGTATATTTATAAGTGTATTTATTACCTATCGCCAAAAGGCAAAAACTGAAGTTAAGGTTTTAACCTACGTCTGTGAATGTTCATGTATCTGTTATTAAATTATGAATCACTGGATAAATGTTAATGAAACTTGCAGAAAGTGACCACTGGGTGAACATCTATAAACTGATCAACTTTCAGAATAAATCCATTCAGGACGACTATCACGGCTAACACACATTAGCAAACACACAAATGTCTGGATAAGAGCTCAAATTTGATGTGGTAGTAGCTGAGAGTCATTCACAACGTTGGTCTAGCAATATTACAGGACAATGTGTGTAATGTTACGTTTTAAGGTTTGTCCAAAACTTAATCATTCTAAACATAAGACAGTCTAAAACTCTGGCAGTGGGTGATATGCATTCAAGGAATGCTTGTCCTTTAATTTTATGTAGTTTTCAGTTCACTTGTCCTAACTTGGTTTACAGCTGTGTTTTAAAATAAAAGGACAGGAGTGATGGAAAAATGTAAAGCTGCATCAGAGCTTTTCTTTTTTTGTTGAACATGAATATATATTTACTTTGTGCCAAAGTTCACGCTCAGTCACCCAGGTAGACAATCAAACATTGTTCAGTCAGGTCATCTGGACGATTTCTGGAGGGGTTTGAACCTAGGCCTGTCACGATAACAAATTTTGCTGGGCGATTAATTGTCCCAGAAATTATTGCGATAAACGATAATATTGTTTGAAATTTCACAATAATTAGTAAATATTGTCAAATTTAAGAAGAAATGTTGGTTAATTTTTGTGTGTAGTACCTTTTTTGAATACTGGATGGCAGTATAAGACTGTTTGAACCGAAGGACGGATAGTGAGGGAGCAAGCAGTGTGTCTCTTAAAGAAAAATGGTAAAGAGGCCCCTTGATGTGACATGGGCCGTCTCTCGTTCCCGTTTTTCAGTTCTCAAAATGGCAGATGCTCGGTGTGGTTTGAGCTCTTTAGCGTAGCATTTTTCACACAAAGCTTTTAATAAAAATCAGTAAACAAGTTCCCAGCTTCTTTTTTCAGAGAAAAACAACTTTTTAGACGAAGGCACGGGTTTCAACCGTGAATTTTGGAGCTTCGACAAGACAGAGGTTTTTTTCCCCCGAGGTCGGCCTATTAGCTTAGCTTCTCAGCTTAGCTGCTTTTAACGATTCAAAAACGCGATTTTAGACCGTTAAAACAGATTTCAAAGAGAAAGGAGAAAGGGCGGGGTCAGTGAAGAGCACCAGAGTTGAGTTTTTTTGTCATCCAGTGTCTTCAGTAGAGAGAGACACAAAGAAATGATAAAGCCGATAAATGAAAATGAGGTCGACAGTTTTCATTTATCATGCGGTTAATTGATTTATTGTTTATTGTGACAGGCCTAGTTGAACCACTTTGGCTTTGGCTGCCTCAGAGGAGTCGGCCCCAGAAACCATCTCATCACCAGCAAACTGGTTGGTTCACTATGTGACTGTGCTGCTTGTGGGACTAAGTTTGTTTGTGGCTCCTCGAACTGATGAAGTCCTTTGGATGAAGGATGAAACATCTCAACACACAAAAAAAATGAAACCGTCCAGATGACCTGACTGAACTTTGTTGGATTTACTTTGTGGCGCTTCAGTCTCCTCACAACAGACCAGTGAGTGAAAAATCATTTGATCTATCAGCCCTTTATTCTTTTCCACACCACCAGAATCTCATGAGGTCATGACAGCATCGAGGCAGGCCCAGTTTTGTGCAGCTCACTGAATATTTGATCAGCTGGCTTAATCGTTGCAGTAAAACATCATGAAGTTGATCAAAGGCTTAACTTTTAGCTACAGCATTTCACCAGGCGGGATAAAAAGAGGCACAGCAGTCTACTGTACAGTCTGTGTGTTAATGTATAACCTCTGTGCAGACAGCTGCTTCGAACAGGAGGTTGATGATAAAATCCTGCATGTTCATTTGTTCTCACCTCAGCCTTTTTGTTAGAGATGTTGTTAATATCCAGAGCGTAGATAGCCTCTCTTGCTCCCAGCAGCAGCACGCCCAGGTCATCTCTGATCAGCATAGTTGAGTAATGGAGGATCCCATCTTCTCTGAACAGCTTCAGGTCACCTGCCCAGAACAGTCTGTGTGAGTGTGATTAGCGTTCTCAGCTTTTTAGGCAGCTCTGACTGTGTGCTGTTAGAAAAAATCAACACCACAACAGCCAAAAGCTCATTTGTTGAGAAACAAACAAACTGGTTCCTGCCAGCAGAAACATGAACAAACTACAGAAATGACATTTAATGTGAAAGCACAACGTGACTGTTGAATGCTGAAGGACTGATGACATTTACTGAAAAAGATAAAACAGAGATATTAAAGAAGCAGAACTTTAGCTAACAGCAGCAAAACAGTAGCTAAAAGCAGCTAAATGTTAGCTAAAAATCAAGTGTTAGAACAGTAGCTAAAATCTGAAGTAGCATATGATGACAAAAATTAGAGCAAGTGTGCTCACGCAGGTTTCTAAGAAAATATTTTTGAAGAATGAGAAAAAAAAAGAGATTTTTTGTTTTTTTGCAAATAAAAAAAATATTTTGAAAAGTATAAAAGTTACAGGACAACATCCGTCTCTTGAATGAGCTGAATGTTTTGATACAAGAGTGGCTAAAATAGCACAGAATATGCAGAAGCAGCGACTAAAAATATACAAAAACCATTAAAACAGGAAAACAATTGTATAAATGCTAAAATATTTTAAATGGTATGGATATAATAATCAAATACATGCAGCACACATTAAAGACAGACTTGTGGAGAATCTGTGACTCACTCGGGTAGGAGACGGTCTTCCGTGGGACACAGTACTGGGAGCTGACCAGAAGGAAACAAAGATGGAGCAGAAGTCCACACTCGATGCTTTGGGCCAGTAGAAAAGACATGGTTTAGGGTCCAGGGATGTCCAAGTGCTGAAGAGCTGCACAGTCCAGCTCAAATCAGACCAAATCAAAACATGGTCCAAACTATGGTCCTGGGCAGCTGGAGTCTCATATATCCAGATGTTTAACCGGGACTGCAGTTCAGTGGGTTTGGGTTCAGTTTGAAGTCAGAGGGTCTATGTCGGCGTTAGCCTCCAGCCTCGTGTTACTGAGCTGCTGATGTCCTGTCTGGAAACAAACGCAGGAGCCATACTGCCTGGCTACAGCCGAGGGCTGCTAGAGGAGCACATGTTCACGCTTCTGCAAAAGAAGAAGGGAACATCAGTGAAATGACTGACTACTGCACAGGCTGCAAAGCTTTGGAGCAGTCTCTTAGAAAGTGGCTGATTTTTCTCCGCCACGATGTGCATGATGGTAGATAATTGTCCGGGCTACAATTAAAACCTTAATTTTTTGAAATGTGAAAGCTGCTTTGTCATTTCTTTTTGCCACTAGCTGCAAGGCTAAGACAAATAAGCGACTAAAAAGGAGCACATCTAGGAGCATGTGGAAATCTGTCTCTTGCAGGGGAGTTGGAGTATTTTGGAGTTTGAAACGATTAAAACTAAAATGATCAAAACTCATCAAGTTGAATGTTAGGACAGCACTGAAAATCAAAGTGAGAAAAGTTTAGTGTTTTGAATTAACATGCGGATTGCTTATTTTAACTACAGTTTAATTAATTGAAATTTTTTACTTTTGTTGAGCCAACTCATGGCTCAAAGAAAAAAAATAGCATAGCAGCTAGCTTTAGGATTTTGTCTACTGTTTTACTAATTTTAAGCTTCGCTCATAGGTTTAGCTAGTTTTTGCTTTTGCGACTGTTTTGCTAATTTTAGCTTTAAGTCACTGCTTTGCAAACTTTTGTTCAGCTCAGCTTGTTTTACCTTTAACAACTTTTCAAATAAATGTCAGCCGTCATTTGACAGTCTGTATCCGACTCCAGCTCCACATTCAGCTGCAGCCCCAGAAAATCATACCAGTAAGTCTGCAGCGTGCAACTCGCCTCTCCTCCATTCTGTTCAGCTTTGCACGCACTGCATCTCTGAGGGGGTAGAGAGGGCAATTGGTGTCACTCCTTGTTCTATCTCCATGTGATATGGCGCTCTTAGCTTGCCTAAACACCGAAAACCATCTGGATAAGCTGTTCTGAAATTTATCTCAGCTCCTATGACTTTATGCATCTACTCTGTACAATAGCCCTAAAGCAACACGAGCTGGTCTACATTACAGTGGCTGTGCTAGCCCTGACACGATATACTGTACATATTCTGTGGTACTGTATCCTTTAGCTGCCATTTCTGCTGTAAAACAGCCCATTACTTTCAGTGGGTAATCTACTAAGGTCTAACAGTTTATGTGATTTGTACAGCTCACGATCTGGGAATGGTTTGTATAACCTGTCTGGTATGGATGTAACATCTGCCCCTGTGTCTAGTTTGAAATCAACATTTTCCCCATTTATAAAAACCTTTTCTATCCATGCCCAACATTTTTCAGTCAGGTCATCTGGACAGTTTCTTTTTTTTGTGCTGAAACGTTTCACCTTCGATCCAGAAGGCTTCATCAGTCGAGGAAACACACAACAAAACTGATTCTTCCTCCAACAGCTTACTCCAAAGTGGAACAAACCAGTTCTGCTTGTGATAAGATGATCTCTTTGGTACGCCCC